TATAACCACGAGTACCTCTCCTTCGTGCGGAGCACCATGGAGGGCCAGAACAGCCATGCATAACGATTATTTTTTTAATAAAACTGTATGATGGATGTATCTTGCAATATGTTTATAATATATTTTTATTTAAAACCTTTTTTTCTTGTTTTGTCTCCTACACATCCATCTCCCCATATCATTTCCTCTGTACGATGTTCATCGTTGAAAACGGGTGTTATACGACGCCAACGCACACCTGCAGGGATTTGGCCTTCGCCGAGATAAAGAGAGATTCTTCAAATGCGATCTGACCATGATTACGTACTTGTTCGGGAAATGTCTTCAGCATAAAATTCATAAAGTCAGACGGCTTGGGCAGTGGACCGAATTAGGGACCAGGCCTTGCCAATCGATCAGGACATGCTTTTACTACTTAAAACAGATAGCGATTCATGTCAACAATACGCTAATAATCAAAAATGTATCACGCGTTACAGCATTATAAAATATATAAGGTTTCTTAAAAAACACAGGCTCTGTTTTACTTCGGCTACACTTACCTCCTTAGGATAATTAAAAAGTTACTGACCGGGGGTCACTGCACAGTTATCGACCGCGGTAGGTCCCTGGGGACATGCAGCTGGGAATTTTCAGGCTTTAGGACCCAATGGTGAAGCGGCACCACATGACTGAGGGGTGGGGAGAACAGGCCACATCGTTGAAGCGGGGGACGTCATGGCGCGGTGTGGAGAGTCAGAGCGCTGTGCGCTCCGTGACTCATGGGGGACGGTGGTGAGGGTTTGTTATGACGGTCAGGAGTGGCCTATAACTACTCATATTTCTTATTTTTATATTCTTATTTGTCTATTCTGTTTTGCTTTCTCTTATTTTTCTTCTACTTTCATATCTTATACCTTCATAATGTCTCCTTTGAAGAAAGACATTTCCTCTTTTAGATGTGTTGTTCCTGATTGTACATCGGTGTGCCTACAAGTGGGATCACATTGCTTCCCAAAAGACTTGGAGCTATCGAGGCATATCGATTCATAGCTTTAAAAATAAAAATTATCATTTGTGTAAACTACATTTTTCCTCGAAAGTCTATATACCTTGTACTGTGAAGGCCAAAATAGGGAAAAATTTAGTACCATCATTGCATCTACCAAATGATTTTAATGTAAATGTTACTACAAGTGCGACTGTAGTAACAGATCTTATTTTTATTCAATAAATAACTTTTTATACCACATATTAACGTTTTAAGATTACGAGGGTTATACTTGTTTTTCATAATTGCAAGTGCTTTTAAAAATACCTTATAAAACTTTCAGGGCGATGCGTACATATAGAACGGTGAGTATAAATACACGTGGATATCTATATATACGTGTTGTGACGTGGTAGATTTTACCCCGTCAGGTCCTCGGCGGGGACTATCGTGTTACGCGGGAAAACACATATTAGAGAAGAATCCAGGCAAGAGGCCACCACCTCAAGGGCTAGCAAAGTTGCGAATTTGTTGATTTCTGATTTTGTTGTTTGATTTTTGCGATGTCCCATGCCGCGAATATTGTATTCACGGGCTTACCGAGTATCGAGAAGAACCAGCGAGGGATCATCAGCGTGGGAGGAACGAAAACGAAAGGCTGAGTGACGTCAGAGCGCCGGCAGTGCCCGAGCTGCGCGCGCTGTAGCTCACCGCACCAATCACCTCGTGACTTGGATCAACTCTACGCACGCTATCATCCGAGCTACATGAACTGGACTACGCGTACCAAGTAACTAGCAGGGAGCTATTACTCATTCCGCGTGACATAGACCTACGAACGACGGAGCACCTGTAACGCACCACAACTCATGACGGAGGCCCACCGCTATCGTGGAATGGAACGAAGATTCGCGAACTGGGAATCCGGGGACGCCTGGTGAACCGTTGCGAAGTCCTATGGGACGACGGAGCCCATCGTGGGACAGTCAGTAATCGCTGTTCCCGAATCGTATGAATTGCCGCGAAGACGGATTTGAATTGTAGCGCGTGGTGTCATATCGGAGATTTCTGATTGGGGCCTTAGGACCAATCAGCGGTGGTTGCGAATAAGGGAGAGGATGATAATCTCCGGTGCTGCCGATTACGATCGTAAGGGAAGGCAACTTCCTTCTTCTTGCCTGGACCGTCGACGACGAGAGTCGTGTTTTTGGAACCGTTTGTTTTCCCGGGTGGAGAATCCGGACTTCGTCCGAGGCCGCGTAGACGGGCTAAATTCTCCAGATCGAAGATACGTAGAGATTTCGGTAAGTGATTTGTTAAATTTTGTGAGCAACGATATCTCGTAACACCCCGCGTTTGGTACGTGTTTGAATTGTGCCTGTAGGCACGTGGGAGACGTTCCCACTTGTAGAATCGCGTTCTTTTGGAGTACGAGATTCCGCCGACCGGAAAGGGACTGTGTTCGCGTAAATATGTTGCTAATCGTGGACATATTTATCGCGCGTTTGTCAATCGAGTCGGATGAATGTGTTTGAATGATAAGTTCTCTCGGCAATGTTGAGTGTTAGATCTTCGAATCTTATTGTATCGCGTTTACGTTAGGGACGTGCTGCCGAGAGACGCGGAATAGTCCTTGAGGTCGTGTTTTCGAAGTGTCGCGATTAAATCGCGTTATATTGTTGAATCGACTCATGTATTGAGAATTGTTCTAATTCAACCGATAGCGAATTGTCCGAAAGAAGTTGAAAATGTCGAATTGTCTCAAATCGTGCGAAAGTATTTATTGAATGTCGAAAGTATCGAATTTTATCGGATTGAACGATTGTATTTTAGCGAACTGTAAGGGTGAGACTGCGCGGAATAGATCGCGAACGTTGTACGTAGAAATTCGGATTAGGACTTAAGCTGCAATTGATATTGTCATTCGTTGTTGTTTTAGTCGCGATCTTATTGGGTCCATTATTTATTTCGAAATTGTTAAATTTGGATTTTGTTATATCCGCGTGGTCGCGTCCGAAATTGGCGCAAAATAAACGATCGATTTTGTTATTGTTGACCCAAAAAGCCGAAGTGTTCATCTGTTGAAGTTGTCCTTACTCTTGAAGATCCCCGCCGCCTCCGCATTGCTGAGTTAGCCAAGGTAGGCACGCGAAGACGAACCTTAGAAGTTGATACCTGGTTCCCGTTTTGAACCTGGCGCCCAACAATACCAGAGGTATTAGTTCGAATTGTATGTGTTAGCCCTGGGTTGCCTCTAACGCGAAGGAATTACGTTAAGTTGTTCGTCGGTCAGTCTCTCATCTCCCGACGAGGCTCGATCGCGAAATTGACGTCACAGTGTATACCAATATATATCCCTGTATACCTATATATAGCCCTGTATATCTTGTGACGCGATTTTACGAATCACGGTCCCAAGGCGGCTCCGATTATCGATACAGATAACGTTCTCGATTTCTGGTTCCCTTCGGGTCGCCACCCGTTACGATCAAAAGGGAAGGCAACCTCCTTCTTCTTGCTTGGACCGTCGACGACGCGAGTCGTGTTTTTGGAACCGTTTGTTTTCCGAGGTAATTTCTGTGGAGAATCCGGACTTCGTCCGAGGCCGCGTATACGGGCTAAATTCTTCAGACCGAAGATACGTAGAGATTTCGGTAAGCGATTTGTTAATTTTTGTGAGCGACGAAATCTCGTAACACCCCGCGTTTTGTACGTTTGTCGTTGAATTGTACCTGTAGGCACGTGCGAGATGTTCCTACTCGTAGAACCGCGTTCGTTTTGAGTACGAGATTCCGCCGACCGGCAAGGGACTGCGTTCGCGTAAATATGTTGCCCATCGTGGACATATTTACCGCGCGTTTGTCAATCGAATCGAATGAATGAAGTTCTCTCGGCAATGTTGAGTGTTGGATCTCCGAATCTTATTGTATCGTTTTCACGTTAGGAACGTGTTGCCGAGAGACCCGGAATAGCCCTCGAGGTCGTGTTTTCGAAGTGTCACGATTAAATCACGTTATATTGTTGAATCGACTCATGTATTGAGAATTGTTGTAATTGAACCGATAGCGAATTGTCCGGAAGAAGTTGAAAATGTCGAAATGTCGAATTGTCTCGAATCGTCCGAGAATATTTATTGAATGTCGAAAGTATCGAATTTTATCGGATTGTACGACTGTATTTAGCGAATTGCAAGATTTAGACTGTGCGGAATAGATCGCGAACTTTGTACGTAGAATTCGGATTAGGACTTAAGCGAAGATTGATATTGTCAATTGTTGTGGTTTTAGTCGCGATCTTATTGGGTCCATTATTTATTTCTTCAGTGTTAAATTTGGATTTTGTTATATCCGCGTGGCCGCGTCCGAAATTGGCGCAAAATAAACGATCGATCTTGTTATTGTTGACCCAAGAAGCCGGAGTATTCATTTTGTTGAAGTGGTCCTTACTCTTGAAGATCCCCGCCGCCTCCGCATAGCTGAGTTAGCCAACGTAGGCACGCGAAGACGAACCGTAGAAGTTGATACGTGGTTCCCGTTTTGGAACCTGGCGCCCAACAATACCCGAGGTATTATTTCGAATTGTATGTGTTAGCCCTGGGTTGCCTGGAACGCGAAGGAATCGCGTAAGTTGTGCGCCGGTCAGTCTCTCATCTCCCGACGAGGCTCGATCGCGAAATTGACGTCACAATGTACATATACGAAAATCGTCAAAATCTATCGAAAAAAATAGATTCCGTATATACAGTACGGATATATTAAATACATGTATTTATATTTCCTAGTTATGTTTTAAATATATTTCGTACACAATTTCGCATATATTTAAAATACATAACTTTCCATGTGGGCTCCCCGCGTAATACCTACAAAGAAGCATAAACAATTTTTCCAGTCCTTCGTTAATAACGAAGCAATTAATAACATTAGCGCAATAGACGAAAACAGAACGGAGAGATTGTTAACGAACGACTCAAACATATTTTTATTGTAAAAATTACGAATATCATTGTGTAAACAAATGGTTAGACGATTCACGTGAAAAATTCGCAACATGTGCAATATCAATATTATAATACAGAAAATTTGAGTCTTAACGTAATTCCACACGAGTACTTGACCTATTTAAATTTAGTACCGAATATTTGATACTCTTGTTCGCCGCCTGTCTGCCTTTCATTCGACGTCAAAAAGTAAATCGGTAGTAGAGGTAACTACTAGCTCGCTAGGTATATTACACCGAGTTTCAATGAAACTGCTGCGAGCGTCTGATCAGCGAAAATTTGTGATGGATAGCGCGAGTTCTGCTCCAGCATAACTTAATGAAAGCTACGTCCCACCAAGACGGATGAAGAATGATCGAGATCTCCTGTACCATGCTGCATTATAAGTATAACTATACGTATTACACAAGACAAGTGTAGCAAAACTACACGAGTAGCCACTGAAGGACCATTAATCTTTCCAACACTCATACGGCGATTCAACAAAATTTTCATAGCCAAATACATTAGAAAGGAGAAAAATTCTTTCCGCCGTCAACGCGTCAAAGCTGGCATTCTTGTTTCTCTTATTCAGTTTCCCACCTTTCACATTCGTCTCGGGAGCACACACCGTTTTCTTCGTTTTCGAGGAAACTTACCAATGGATTGCTTCCAACTTATAGTTGGAATCGGAAATCCTTCTGCCTGACAAGCGATGGAGACGCCGTGACCTACAATGGCGGTCTGGTCGATAGGTTCCACCGTCCATCTAGGCGGAACTAAAAATACAAACCAATTGCTTTAAAATCCTCTTCTGTCTCACTTTATCTCGTCGACATATCTAATATCCATCATTCGGTCTATTATGGATCTCGCTTAAACCTGAGTTCTGACCTTGACAACATCAAGTATCAAATATCCTAGTAAATTAATGTTTGCCATAACATACGTATGCAATTTCGAAAAATTATCAACAGTACAAGCAACCTATCTTATTCCACATTTTCACCACGAGATCCATTACAGAATAGCACAATAGAGTTAGAACGCATCACTGTATCGACTGAAGAATATTTAAAATAAGTTTTGCAGAAAATTGTATCCAGATAAGTTTGTTTCGAATTTCCAGAGAAAGAAATAATATCGATACAGCGACTATTTACACAAATAAGCAAAATTCCAGAGACGTTCCAATTTTGAGTGGCACTGATTATTAAAACTAATTTTTAACACACTATAATATTTATGGTACCGAATAATCGTATCTTTTACTGAAGAGCAAATAAAAAATACTGCAATTTTCCTTCAGCTATAATCAGTCTTCTTTATTAGTCCTTAAACAAACAGGCCATGGACTACTTGAGAGTAATGGCTGGCTCTTCTTTATGGATAGCCTTTTAACAGGAACGAAACTCGTAACGTTGTCTCTCAAAGGACGTTTAATACCGCGTGTGCTAGCAAGAGCAAGTAGTGGCGCAGCCATGTCGTAAGAAGAGAATTGCGACGTACAAGACTGTAACCACCGACCACCACAGGAAATTGGAACGACCTGTACGTGACGGGTTGTTGCCTCCCCGTTGCACTATACGTATATAGAGTTATTCACGAGAAACGTATCACCTGAAGATGGTAGAAGAATGGTGGAAGATGGCATAGAAATCAAATGGACAGACTGACTTTAGGTAGTGCGTTTGTTTTGAATAACTCTATAGATGTAATACACTAAACACGTTGATTAATGTATCTTAACTACTCCCCGTCCCATTTGACATCACGTGCGCATATAGGTATGTAATATCCTAGTATTATAAAGTGCATGCAATTCCAAGGGAACTCCATGTATCGTATATACCAAAATATATACCTATATTATATGAATATGTAGATATATTCTCTATCCATCTTCTACGCGTCTCTATAGCTTCTACGTGTAACCATATACATATTCATAGGTATATATGTATATATATATATATATATAAGTGTGTATATATAGATATATACCTACGTACGTACCTACGAGTGAAGGTAAACAGTGATAACAAGTTTACGAAATGAAATACTACTCGCAAGTTACCTCGGACTGACGGAGCTTTTGCAGTTCTGAATGAAAACTATCGCCAGAAATTCTGACGCATTTTGCATTTCTGTAAACTCGCCCTGAGTCTGATGCATTTGAGAAATATTTACGTGCATATGCTTGCGGGACAAGCAATTGTAATAGGAATTGCAGTTTGTATTTAAAAAAATGGATTTGATTCTTAGAAAAATTTTGTATACGTCAGCTGACAGCTCAAATGTTATTTGTAACAAGTTCGTATAGATTAATGCTATGATAAAAGTGTAGAAGGAAATATTTTCAAAAATTCTCCCGCCAGTCCGTGTCTTATCTTTGCACGAATTATGAAATGTATGTGTCTAGCGACGTCATGCTTTCACACCAGTCCAATTAATTATGATACTTGTTGCAGTTACAAGAGCACATAGTAAAGGAATCTGATATGAGTGGCGTAAGATGATTGTCTTACAGAAAAAAAATTACAAATTTATAACAATTTCCCGCACTGCGTTTTTACTCTCTACGACAATGGAATGAAAAACGACAATGAATTGCAATGCGGGTGTAATAAAAGTTTTGAGAAAAAAATTTATTTACCAATGGAAATAATTTTACGTTATGAAAATTTAGCGAAGTTGAAACCGATCGATACGCCCACGTGAACAAAAATTGTCACATCCCTTAATAATATATATTTTTTTAATTTTCCCAATTTAATTCAACAATTAAATTTTCGATAAGAATTTTAAAAAAATTTTTTAACTGACCGGTTCCTCGTTCACCAAGTAGTTACATGCACTAAAGCAAATACGCAATGACACGATAATAATGGACTTTGACACAAGATTATTTGTGATATTCGTGAATGCATCACAGTCGGTTTATTTTTTTCTATTATTCAATATTTAATTCTTCATTTCTCGTTTAAAAAAAGAAACGCTAGCGGCACGTGTCTTGGCAAATTTATGTGAATTTTCAATTTCATCTTTTTCCTCGGTTTCATTAATTTTTAACTTTTATTTCTTTTTTTCTTTTTTTTTCAAGACTAAGGGGGTTATGGGTCGGGAGTGGGAAGATTATTCAGACGCTTCGCTATTTTATCCGGCAATAACGAAAGGTCTCCTTTATAAACCTATTCTGCTTAAATACTTCATATTATAATATAATATCACAGTCAGTCGATTGCTGATCGATCATCCCAAGGATGGCTGATAGCACCGGAGAGGATTGGATGATAAATGTAAATTCATATCGTATATAAAAGCAGTTACTATTTAATAACTGTACATGGGCACTGATAACTTTAAATAGCCGCGTTGCCATGTAAGCGTATTTGCACGACCCTCGTGGCAGAGGACAGAATAGATATGGAAATGGCAAATACAAGATAAAAGGTAAGTGCAAGAGAGAAAGAAAGGGCAGAAAAAGTCTTTAACGCTTCAAAGCCATAAAGCACGTCAAGAGCATTTGAAAGCGGCTTTTCCTTAATGCACTTTGCTCGTTATACTATGCCATTTTTTATTTGAGCTTTAATCATAAAGATCGTAATTAAAGATTTTTTCATGCTCCCCTCACTCTCTCTTTCTCTCTCTCGCGTGTTCCTCCGTACTCAAAAATTAAATCACCATCTCTCAATTTGTAGAAAAAGAATCTATAGAAAATTTCACATTAGTTGGGCGTATCCCATAAATCAAAAATCTTCGTAGCGTCTCGCACCATAAACGATCCTCTCCGTTCCCTCAGCGAAAAAGCATCATCAATCTCCAACGTTATTTTCTTCTTTATATCCGGCAGGCATGAAACCGTTTCTATAAAATAAACCAAGGGAACGAAAACGAGAAATAGAAAGAGAGAGAGAGAGAAAGACAGTGCTCTGTAGCAAACGCATACTAGACATCCGAATACAAAATCCGACACCAATCCAATCCTCTCCGACGTAAAACGAAGTGATGTAGAGAGGTTACTTACAAAACTTCCCAAAGTACCTATGAAAGTGAAATATCGTTATTTACACACGTGATCGTTTGGTACGAGGAAAAAGGTATAAGGTAAAAAGAAAGCAGAAAGAGGAGGGAATGAAGGAAGCTCATTATCAGGCATAAGGGTGATAGAGAAAACTAATAAAAATAAATGTCCAAGACACAATGGGTTAGGTTTAGTAAGGGTTGGTTCTTTTAGTGCGTAGGAGAATTTCACGTTTTTCTCTGACACACACCAGCTACGGAGAGACTCGTAGAGTGTTCGGCAACACCAGCGACGTTACTGATTAGACACGTGTAGTTCCCACTATGCCTCGCTGTCACGTTACTAATCATCAGGATGCTGGAAAACGGCGTATAGTTGCTTATCTGTATGTTGTTGCTGGTTCCGGCCACCGTCTCCGTCGATCCGTCGGAACTCTCTCTGACCTGAATCGGTTTGCTGTCCATCAGCCAAGTGATGTTGAACGGTTCATCCCCCTCGCTGGTGGTACACATTAGCTGTGTCCTCATGCCCTCAGTAACACCGTCCTCGAAATAAAACGGCGAGATCCGCGGCGGAACTATAACGACCATTTTCCAATTGTACCGACACGCGAGAGTCTTTCCCTCCTCCTTACATCTTTTTCTTTTTTTTATTTCTTATTTTTTCACTCTCTATTATTTACTTTGACCTATTTTTCTTTGTTTTGTTTACATTTAGCGGAGTGGGAAGTATCTTCGGGAAAATGGGAATTTTAAGGAAACATACTTTTTATAAATAATATTTTTTTGAATCTCCTACTTCTTTATGAGACGTGCATTCTCCACCTTATACTCACCGGTTTGGGTTTTTTGACGTATGAGCAGATTAGCGAAATTTTTTGCAGGGGAAAATTATTATTTTTTTTGAAAAGGGGTTTTATAGACTTTTTGCTGATTCGATACAGACACTCGTTTGACATTTAATATGTCGTCTTATACGGATGTCAACATTTAGGATATATCACACAAAATGTCAATCTCGAATTGATGACAGTCTGACAAAGTTCTTTCTACCGAGCACATGTACCAATATGTATCCAAACGTGCGTATACGAATTGGTACAGGGATATATTTAAATTTGAAAGAACGACCTAAACGAAATACAATTACAACACAGTAAATGAGCATAATAAATGACCATTCGTAATGAAAAGACCTACTGCGTGGAAACAGCCATTTTCTAACGGGACTGAATAAAGACCATAAACCATTTGAATCCTCGACGACGATTAGTATTCAAATTTTACGAGATAACGAAAATTTGCAAAAATGAGAATTTCAAAGTTTATGACAATTTTCACAGAAGTCACTTGTTAGATAATAGCGCCAAACGCTTGTACGATGACGAACGATTATGAATATTTGAGGTGACATGTGTATAGATAAAATTTCTAAAAACACTAACGAATTACTCAACTCGAATATAAATTACGTGTTCCGAATATAGTATATCAATGGTGTACGATGCACTGGCAATAAATGCGAATTCTCTCAATCAGTACGAATGACAAGGACGTCCTAGGCGATACTCTATTGATGAATATCTACGAATAATTCTGATAAAGAACTTTTCCTATAACATGAAAAATTCTCTTATAGTTTGATTTAACGTTTTTCATTATATTGAACCAGAGTCTTGTTATATAACAACAAAACTTCTCGTATCGCCTAACGGCCCTGTGCTGCCTACTATAACAATACGTGTTTTGCGAGGTACGGTACACTAAAAATAATTCACTGAATAACGAATTTTCGAAAAATATTTATCAAGTGATATATATACGAAAACTTTTTACGAGTATAGAGAATTATATCGTCTGTATGATATATTATATATCAGTGCTATCTCATTCAAACATACCAGTTACACTCATAGCTCGCACGAGATCACTTTGGCTTAACATGAAACTGGCAACAACCAATTGCACATTCGCTATTCATGGAACTTTGAATGTAAATGACTTTCGCGCCCTTAATCGGTTTTAGAGTGCAAAATGATACATTAAGGTGGTTCGGCATATATCGTATGAAATTCAATATAAGTTTCACATTTTTGCAAAGCAAAAACATTTTACATGCACATATTTTAAACTCTTTTTTTATTTAGTAGTTCCATGATATAAGTTCCTAATACATTCTGTACTAACTGATCTGTTAGAAAGTCTTATAAGCTTAAGATTTTATTTGAGTTGACGTTATTACTTTTGTTTCAGTGCGAGTTATAGAGCTGATCTCACTTAGTGGAGACATGTTCACGTCGGGAACATCTGATTGAGAGGATTAGGGGCATCACGATGGGTGGCAAAAGTTTTTATTAGATTTTATTGAGTTATTAGATGTCAATATCGTTTTTATAAAATAACTTTATACAATCCAAAAAATAGTACTTTCAGTTTTTTAGACTTTAAATTTCACAATTATTGGCTGAACTTTTTGAGTAGGTTATTGAGCAATTATTAAGTAAAACAACAAATTTCAATTAATTTAGGACTTCTTGGTAAGATATTTCAAATTCGGCGTTTTTTTCTTTACCCTGTTCCAATGTTCGAACCACCTTAACTCGTTTAAATAAACTGTTTGTAAGAAACTAGCGAAATATTGCTACGTACTGGAAATGTGTTGTATTCTATGATTTTCAAAAGATAGTACATCAAAGAACGTAATATCTATCGATTCCAGAAGTTTCACCTTAGTGTTAATCAAGCAAATATAAGACTGAAGAAAAAACCTGAACTAAAAATGTTCATGTGTATCAAGTTCAACCATCTGAATTTGCAGAACCGAAAGTTTTCATATGCGTCAAACTCAACATTTCAATTCTTGAGGGAGATTATTCCGTCAATTTTTGATTAATTATTGCACTAATAATATGAAAATTATTGTTAATTTCAAAATGTCATCAACTGTTTTTGGAGAAAGTCTGCAAAAATCTGACTATTTATGATTTTGGTGATTTGAAATTTAACAGTAGGTACATACCACTCGAGGTCTTGTGGCAATTAAAAATGTATGCTGAGTGTTACATTATCGAATTACAACGATATTTCAATAAAGTCCAAAGAAATAAAAAATTGCTTAGAATCATGTTTTCCAGCAACATTCTGCTGCATCATTCAAAAGAATACAGATAATAAAAATATCTTTTAAATATGTATAATAAAAACTTCGATTTTCATGTGAAAGGCCTGGAAAAAATATTACCGAATACTAATACTTCGGATAGTGTAAAAGAAATGGAGATTCAAACATAACCTATCCCTGTAACACAACCCATTTTTCAGTGCTATCATTAACTGTAAAGAAAAGTCAAAAATTTAAAACGCAGCAATGGACAGTACATCATTAGCACATTGTGCTTCAGCCAAGGTGATCACATTACAGCTATCAAAGTGTAGCTGGTAAATTAAAATGAGACAACCCTGTATATACGAGACTCCTGTATCTCCGAAGCGTGCAATTAGCGTGCAATAAATAGAAACAGCGTGCAGGGATATCATCACATATGGGTAAAGAGACAAATAACGTGAAGGTAATAAAAAAGAAATTTAGAAACAAACAAAAAATCTAGCTCACGTAGAAACGTGAACGGAGAAAAAAGAAATAATACGAGTCTACGTATCCAACAGTCGGATAGGAAATGAAAGGACATTAATAGAAAAATTACCCCAAACAAAGGAAGAAAAATAAAAATGACTTGCATGCAGTATGAGCAATAACGTTAAAATAACAGAAAATCTGAACCACGTTAATAAACCGAATGTAATACATAATAGTGAAATAATATTAACGGAAACAGTATGTATCGAATGTTACGGGTGACTATAACGAGAAATGTCACAGAAAAGGCAATCCAAGAAAAAAGTAGATACGCTGACAGAGATAATGGAATAGAATGATAAAATAGAGTAGAATAAGAAGAATAGAAAAGAAAAATTAGCAGAGGTTGTGGGTTGGTGCTTCGAAGAGACACCAACGGTTCGTTACCGTTGACGTGGAGGAGTGCAGAATGAGCGACGCTGGCGGCGCCATTGGCCACTCGACAGGTATACGTGCCGTTGTGCGCGGGGGCGATTTTGCCAATGCTCAGGGCGCTATTAAAGGCGTCATATTGGCGCACGGTGATGCTCTTTCGCGGCGTCTTTTCTAACCTTCCGTTAGTACCGGTAGTACCACCGCCACCGCCGACACCAGCGCCAGCCCCGGCACCGCCACCGCGCGGTGCAATCTGGCGCCGATCGTCCGTCTTTGACACGGCCACGATCGTGCCCGACGCCGACGCCACGACTTCATCCGACGACGACGCTTCTATCGGCACGTTATCTTTCAACCACGTGAATGTGAGCGGCAGGTCGCCCGTCACGACAACGCACTGTATGCTAGTACGGTCCCCTACGTTTAAATCGCGAGCAAAACTGAAAGGCGTGATTTTAGGTGGCACTGAAAGAACAATACAGAACAAGGTGGCATTCCATCAAAAGCAGTCTTCTTTGTACACGTAGCACTGGTGTAGGTATGCTGGATTGTTTAAGATATATGGATTTCGGACTGGAACGTCATACCGGAAAACGGAAATGACAGTTCTGGAGCTATGGCGGGAAATAGATGCTACAAACGCCCATTTCGGATTCATCCATTTCTTTACATAGAATATACAAGAACTCGTGTTGATTTATCGAATGACTCAGTCTTGTCATTTTTTTATTCTTGTCAACTTATACCAATCATGAGATAGCGTAAAGAAGGATCTCATCAATCATTTTCACGATAATAGAATATAATATCATTAAGCTGCGCGCTACACGTAACGGTTAGTTTAAATGCAAATGAGGAAAAACAGGAATTTCCCAAACGGAAACCACGTCACTTGTTGCTTCCCACGAATAATGGGAAATCCGTAGGGGGATGGCGGATGAGTCAGTCCTTTATGGGCGTACGTAGCGTTCGTGGCAGGACAAAACTTTGCGGGAAATTCATTCAGAGCTTCAATATGCACCCACAATGGCGGAATGGAAAAACAGATGGATAAGAAAAAGATCGACAGAACGTCGGTAAAATAAATTCCCATGAGATTTTATCAAAATATAAAATAACTTTTCGTCTACTGGAATTCCCAATAAAACTAAGTTACTTGATTATATCAAATCTACGAAGTCGTTATAAATTCTTTAGTGTCATACAAATTTCTCAGTTAAAGAACAATCCCGTATGCAATACATCGGAAAATGAATATTACCGACCAAAACAGAATTCTTGTTTATTCAGCATTGTTAAAACAGAAATTTCAAATGGAACATATCAACATCGTACGGACCCAGCTCTATCAAATTAGGATGCATATACATAATATCAAACAGAAATCCATTCTGAAATTACGATATTAAAAATATAACTGACTTTCATTATTTCTTGTAATTACTCTTCAAAAAAAATTTCACATGAGAATTTCATTTTGCCCGTAGGATTAGCAGAAATTTTTATATGATGTGACAAGAGGATCGACAGTGGTATAAAAATATAAATTATACATAGGTTCGTATAGTACATAGTATATACATTTATATGTACAGAGCAGTGGGCGGGCGTGCAGGGCAAGTGCTTCAGCAAGTGCAGTGAATTGCGGTGCACTGTGCGTGGGTTATTTCCGGATGTCATATAGACAGATAAGGATTGCAACTGTATGAAATGAAAAAAAAAAACTTCATAGAACCGTTTCAAATATTTCAGTAGGACCATTATTCTTGTTCACCTATTACATGTCGTAGAATAAAAAAAAAGATTTCTTAGGTGCTGTTCATATTTTGGCCAACTAAAGTGTAAATAAATAAAAGTGTTGTTTCCCGTATTGAATGCAACGAATGCAATAAAGTGCAATTTATTTAAAAGATAGGATTGATAGACTCGTCCAAAAATAATAAATTTTTTCAAAAACACCTTTTGACTCATTTTTTTAATGTATATCATTATTTTCAATTAGAATATGATGAAATATCAATATCAACTTGAACGTTACTCATGTGTTCGCCTGTTCGTGGCTAATAAATACACTACCAGAAATACTCTAGATACTTAAATTATGTTTAGTTACGTAAAACAACAAAATTGCATTGGTTGCTTTTGCGTCAGTGTAAGCGTTGTCTGAAGAGATAAATAAACTGGACATCTTATGGAATATGATGTCACGGAAGTCTGGGTGTAGCGGACCCCTATAAACGGGCTTTACTAATTGAAATGCTATATATAAATATAGAGTGTACAAATGAGAATCGCGTGGCACAGAATTACACGGGTAAGTTTAGTCTATTTATATTCAGTCGACAGTGTGAGTATTCGCAAACTACTTTACCGACTGGTGTAAGTTAGCCATTCGTTTCACAAATATTGAATATTAAGGCAGTACACATATTGAGAATGCCTACGTTCACGTGTTCCTGACACTTTGGAGAATGCTGGAATTCCTGAATACACGAATTGGAATCCTTAAAGTCAAAATCTCATCACAAAATTCTAGTCCCTACTTTCCTATTGTTGATTACAATTTTCAGATGTGTCGTGAATTATGCACTTATTATTCCAGCAGACCATTGTATGACGTGTATAAAATTAAGATATTTGCAGAATCCAGTGTTGCTGGTATACTAATGACCTAACATAACTGTATTGACTGTAAAGCATATTGAACGCGATATACTGTCGTATTGTAATAAATCCTGATTTTGTATTAAAATAATACACGCATTGCACCTTCTTTTTATGAACCGATGAAAACACTGTGACAAGATTAATTTCATGGGATTTAATTGACTAGCTGTTATAAACCATATAGGAACATGTTCTATGTCAATTCATTTTGACATATCTAGGATCATTTAAAGAATTTTAAGGAACACGCTGATTGAGAGTTCGTGAATGATTATAAAGGATTAATCGATATTGTATGTTTTATAATAGTGAAACAAATGTTAAAATACAAAAGAGGATGATATACGAACTCTCTTTTCTAACACATTTTGATAGGATAGGACCATTTATTAAAAGTAAACCTGCATTATTTCCTGTAATAATGGAAAAATATAATATTCACCTTATTTTTGGAATTCGAAAGACCGTAATTATTAAATAACATAAATATTCAAATATCAAATAATCAAGATTACGGAAGAAACGATTCCTCAGTTTTCGTAATTATTACACACCGAATCCACTTTTCAAGTAAAAAGTGCACAACTATACTTCCGCTGTAATCGACGAATATTTACAATCTTTCGATGGTCATTATTATTCTCGAATATAAGAAACAAAATTCAAAGTTCGATAATTTAAAATATTTATTAGAAATGGATCACTTACCAAGCACTCGCACATCTACAGCCCGATGTGACGTAAAGTTGTGTTTGTTTTTTGCGGTGCAAGTATAAGTGCCCTGATCGGCACTTTTTTGCACAGTGTCTATATAAAGAGTACCATTTGCCACCCTTTGTCGCATGTTCGTCGGTAGTCTGACACCATCTAGAAAAAAAAGATAAAAGCCTGTAAAAAATCCAAAGCTTTAACTTAGTACCCTCGGGCAATGCACGACGCACGACACATAACTGCAGGGATAATGGGAGTTAACGGATGAACCCTTGGAATGATTCCAAAGTGCATTAAAGGCGAAATATGCAGCAACGTACAACGGCACACAATACTAAAGGTATATCTGCACCCCTTGCTAGTATATTCGTATATAATCTGCGCCATGCCATATTGCTTCTCATTTGCTTCTGTATAGCAATCCATAAAGAAAATTTCCAAAATATCCACGAAAAATTGGGACCTACGTACAACTGTTACTGATCACTTTCTTGCATAATAGTATGTCGGTGCCTCCGTCCAGGATAGAATTTCTAAAGCAGATTGTGATCTGGAATGTATCGAATTTTGTCCAGAGGGATAGAAACCGCAGGAATCTCATCAGCGGGGACACTGCCAACGCCAATTCATCCTCTATATATGTATATATGTGAATGCACGTCAGCTTATGAGCTTGTATCTAATTGCATGGATACAGAACAATAGGAGGTCGGCATATAATAGATATTTTATCTACCAATTTCACACCCCATACTTTGTGTTTTAACACATTGGTTACCAAATTAGAAAAAAAAGAGCGACCCTTCGAGCCACATATTTTCACAGAACATAGAATACAAGCCATGATTGCAGTTATATTTAATTCACGCAATCTCTTGACCAAACACAGCATGAGCTAAATATAAATCACATTACGTTCAATGTATTAATGTAGAAAAAAATTAACCTCAATTAATTCCCTGGGAAATAACATTATGATTGTTAAGGAATACACAGTTCAATTGCGATTTACTAATTGCGTATACTCTATAGGGATACGGTGAACGAAAATTGTATAAAAAAAAGAGTTACACAAACTATAAATCAAATATTCCAATGGTCACGCGAGCTTCATTAAAATCGAAACGCTATACAGTTTTTGGGTACTGATAAAGTGCAATGTGCTTCAAATGTAATTATACACCTGCATCCGAGAGTGCATTAATAGCATAGATGGATAGAAGACGTAGAGAATAAGCCGTATAAAACGAAACAAGAGGTAATGCGCAGGAGGTAAAAGTATAAAGGGACCAGGTGGCGAAGGGCAGGCAGAGGGGGTAGACAGTCACGATAATGCAGTAGGAAATAATTATTCAGAAAATCCCTAAACAAAGAGAAACGCAAGCAGATGTAATTAGTCCCGAGGTATAATTCGCATTTAATTAATAGGCTCGTCGCGAGCGTATACTGCTTATGGGAAGTCGCCATTTTTCCTCCTCTACTTTCTTTTTTTATTCACAACTCTCGTCTACTTCACTCTTGCCGCATTTTCTAGCTGTCTCTTGAATCTGTAAATCCTCCCCTGTTTCTCTATCTCTTTCTCCCTTAGCTATCTTGTCAGGAAGAAGCACAGAATTATTTAGCGTCGCGACGCCACCCTACCCCACTAACACATGACCACGAAGAGCTGTGCAACGAACAACTACCCAGCCAAGATTGTCAGACATATCACTGAGGGAGAGAAAATAAAAAAAATGGACAGGAATACAGAAACAGCAGCAGAAAATATATATTAAGATTAGTAAGGCAACTGTGTTATAACCAAAATGGAATTTTATTCTATCTGATTTAGTCGCCTTACAGGATGGACCAGGAATCATTATTAAATTTACACGATCGCTTTGGGTGTGTCACGTTTAGATTTCAGATTGCGTGCCTTTGCCTCCGCATTGATGTTATGAAAACGGGGTTAAGTTTTGCTGTAAAATCGAATTATTGGAAAGCATGTACATGCGTTAAGCTTCTCATATATCAATCCTATCCATTAGAGTATGAACGTACTGACAATTAGAGTGACTTTGAACCCGATGCAGAAATGGGTCTGTGATACATCAATATGTGATATGCAATATTATAGTTTTCCATATTCATTCTTTGAAATTTGTTTACACAATGAATATTATACACGTTTTTATAATACTGTAAAGGTAAACTAGGATAAAATGAACTGGGTTTGAATATTTTAGGTAATTCAAACCTTTCAACTATCATGAACGTTGAAACTGTATCCAGATATCGTTCAGATGTTCGTATGAGCCATTGAAAGATGTCAACTCATCGGGTCAACAGGGCACGTAGTAGTATATCTATATCCTTGGTGAATTTATGTCTATGGAAGTGATTATGCATTCTACCTGTGCTATCAGCGTTTCCCATCCAAGGATTTTGGTGATTGTTAGCTACATGTTTACAGATCTCGATGAAATGCTCAACCATGTAAATATCAAGGAAGTTTTTTCTTTCAAGGGAGCAAAAAGAACTTTTTAACATGGCACTGCCGTAAGTGACTTACAATTAGATTTAAAGAGCACATATGAATCTGTTAATATATAGTGAAAAAAAAAGCTTAAAAAACTTTAATACTTTAAAAATTTTAATACATTGTGTTTTCGTGTGGCCCTGCGTGAATTACGCGTAACTAAATAAACTCAGGCAAATCACAGAAGTGGTTGATATATATTTATATTAATATGTATAATTTATATAAACTCACTTCCTATTTATACTATTTACATAAGAGAATCATTTTCCAATACAACATGATTCTCTTTTAGTCATTTTTAGTTTCTCCGTCTTCCACTCTCTAAATAGTTTCACCCGAAAGTTTTACTTACCCTTCTCCCAGACGATAGATTCTATCGGATAACCCGCAACGGGACACTTTATGCGAAGCTGCTTTCCGGCCACAGCGGAAATTGGCGCCATCGGTCTCACATACGGTATACCTATAACGGAGATAAAATAAAAAAAATTTTAAAATAGATATGAAATTCTGTAAAACTTTTCAGACATTTATCACATCTCGGATGTTTTTAAAAATATTCAATGTCTTTCTACCACGAGTAGTGGGACTCTTTACGCGGTGAAATTTTCAACAATTTAATTAACAGTTTTCCATTACTCATCCAAAAGAAACGAACCGTAAATATTGAGTCTGGCTGAGTGTCTGGCTTCGCCAGCACGACTGCTTGCCATGCACTCGTATTCTCCGCCATCTTCAGGCTTAACCGATGATACGTTAACGTGAGAAATGACGTCACCGTACACCGTGACGTATTGTCCGATGAGAAGTCTGTCATTCTGTGGCAACGGAAAGCCGTCAAGAAGCCATGATATCTGCGGCGTTGGATTCCCAGCGGCACTGCACTTCAATGAAACTGACGGACCAGGTTGCATAGTCTGTTCGATAAATCGGTAGACCAACTGCGGTGAAATTTCTGTAACGTAACAATTGGCAAGAGTAACATTCAGACTCTTTAACATAAGAGAATTATAATATAAAACCATTAATATACCATCTTCAAGTCGATCTACGTAAAAGAGATTATCTTAACTTAATATCATCATTATAATATCATCGGGTGCATCAACGTCCAATAGCTATATAATAACATAGTTTATCGCGTTATCACGGTGAACTTTTATGCTCTGATGGATTAATCAAAATATCTATATCGAGTGGGTAAATGGTGCCCCGAGCATTTTTTCTCTTCATCACCCTCTTTTTTCTTCCTTCTATCAACGAATTTCGCCCAAGGAAAAGAAGGAAGCAGATGAGCAGTTTCGCGCGCTTCCATTTCCGCCAAATGATGATTAGGACCTTAAACTTCGGCGCACAGTACACGTATATATACATATATATATACTTATGCATGAGAGTATACGAACGATGGTAAAAGACTCTTTGGACTTGGCAACTTTTTCTAAGTTGGGAAACTACTGTCACGATTTCGTATCCGCAGCCAAGAAAATCCCTAGCGAGGCGTCCGCGTGGAAACGAGGTACATGAGGAAATTTCAGTTAGGATGAATTTTCAAATAGCAGCACAGTGAAGCCTGGACAAATTTCATAGGCTTTTCTCGTGTTTCTTTGCACCGTCGAAAATATATAGAGAGAGACTCAACATAGCCAATCGACGTTAAGAGGACTTTATAAATATATTTGCAAATGTAATCGCACGGCAGGAAACTTGAACGCGAGAAAATTTCCTGACGCGTTGACGCGTGTGAAAGCACGCAGCGTACGGTTTAATTTATATCGCAAATATCGTTATGACACGTTATCCGATAAGTTTTCCTGTTAATTGAAATCGACTGCAGTCGAACGCTGCGCTATCTATATACTCACCGGTCGATGGCACAGGATAAATTCAATTAATATTTTACCTATGAACTGTCAATCGTAACGGATGTTGTATGTGTAGTAGTGAAGTATGTAAATGTGCTATATATGTGTATATTGCAAATAACGTGCAGAGCTGCGTTCCGTTTATTAGCCAGTCTACAATTAACGCGTCCAGGAAAACCCGATGGTTACGTCATACGCGCAAATTCCGCGGCGCTTTGCATATTCATCGGCCTCTGTGGCAAAGTTGCTGCAAGTGCTTTTAGCGGGCAGGCAAATATTGCAAAAACCGCCCAAGCCATGCCATAATCGAAAAAAGCCCTCCCTTGTATACTACTCCTATCCTTTATTATTCTACTCTTTTTCTTTCCTCTCTCTTTTCCTCCTCTCAGCTTCCCTCTCTACACTTTCCCTTCCTATGGACGGGTGCGTAAGGGATAATTGCACGAAAAATGGTAGAGAGCATTCTCTTTTCTTTTTAAAATTGACCGATACGATTTTGGGCTGTTATCAAAAAAATTATTTTAATAAGGAACAATGTCTGCTTGTATTAAACAATATTTGTGTCTTATCAGTAAAGAGGAAATGTATTAAATAATTATTATGGAAATCTGTTTTAAAAAATGATCCAAGACTTTCTGGTTTATTTGGGAATAAAACAAACAGCCCAACTGGTGTCGGGTTTCGCTATCCATTACAATGAACTTCCTGGAAATCTACTGTGGAATTATATAGTAACCTACTATAGATATAACTATCGCTGTAACGAAGGACCATAGTCTAGAATAGGAAGCAAGGAAGGAGAAGCCAAAGCGTCAGGCTTCGTCTCAACCACGAGAAACCTCGTTAGCGTATGCAAATCAAGGGAAGCAACCATCCTATCGTGCTGTAGGCGATTCTCCCTGATATAGACGGTGGCTGAGCAGGTAGGAATCTACGCCACTATAATCAAACTACCTGACGTAGTAGGTACGTAGTTCGAAAATCATGCATCCGAGGAGAATCTTAATGACAGGTCTATAACGAACTCGCATCGCGATCAAGATGCTAATTAATCTTGAAATTAGCCACGTGTCCTGTGCAGAGTTCTCTTTGATCCTAAGCACGTTTCTTCGTTCAATTAATCGAAATCATTATTCAAATAATCTGAGGCTTTCAGATTATTAATTTCAAGTGGTTGAGATTCCATCGGTGTGATATGATAATGGCAATTTCTTCTAATTAATCAGAAAAAGAAAATATTGACATAATGGTTTCAAACATCCACGGAGAAGGGACTGCATACTCTTGGTTTTCTTCTTGTTCATTATGAAAAATAAGCTTTTAATACGAAGTTGGAAAAATAGCAGTTGTTTTTTCATCTCTAAGGAGATAAAGTTTTATGGTCCTTAAACTCCAAGAGCGACTATCACGCAAAATACTCATTCGCAGAGTAACCTCTGCACTTTGGAATTTTCTCGCTTTAACTGAGAAAGCCACTGAGAAATATTAATAGGATGTAGAACCGTTAGCGACTATAGCTCTTCCATTTTAAATAGGTAAGTCATATCCAGAAAATACTCGCCGTATTCCAGAAGTTCTGTCCATGGCGGAATATCAGGAGTTTCAGTGTGGGTTTATAGAGGTACTTTTTGACAAGACAAATGTACTCCACTTTTCGGTCACCAATGCTTTCTAAAAACTTGCGACATTCTTACATTATATCTCAGCTCGACTATGGCCTCGTGGCTATCTCATTCTACGGAAAATGGCTGACTGTCCAGGATCCCTTTGGATGAGGTAACTTTGCTTGAAATAACTTTCGATCCTGTGGAATGCGCAGAGAATGCGTACTAGGAAGATCGATCCAGCGTCCACGGAATACTGAGTGAATTCCCTGGGGAAAGCGTGACAGGCCTCACGTTCAAGGAAGTATAACCCCTAGAACTGTATTAGGGGTATAAGATTACCTCAGGAAATTTTTTAACGAAAGTATTGAATTGAAATCGGTAAGGAAGAGTCTTCTATGATATAGGGTAATATAAAGTTTTCATTGGTTTTTGATGACTTTGCATACATTTTACACTGCTTAAAGTAAATTCAATGGCCATAATGTATATGTAAATCAATTGTATGTTCGTTATTGTCTGAAGAACAAACGGATGCGCTTGAAAATGTTTTTACTGCAACTGGAAGCGAACACGAGCGATCATAGGTCATGGGATACAATTACGCCCCAGTATGCAGCTCCCCTGTCGACCTGGAAGGTATAAAGTTCCAGGGTTAAGTAAGTTCTACAAGTAGCAAAGTACTTTGTAAAAAAATAAAATCACTTTAAAAAAGAAAAAATTTGTAATCAATAATCACTGTCTTCGAAATCTAACCACCAAACGTAATCGTAAAAGTCTTGAAAGACTTCAATGTATACAAGAACGTGATCAAAGAAGATCGACTTGCATCTTGAGAATTATCATCCTTTGAATATGCCCATTGACTTTAGTCGACATTCCCGAAGACCTACGAATGCTAATTTGGCTGATACGATCAATTTGAATTTAATGGGCTTTACATTTAATTACATTTTGCCATCTGTAAAAGATCCCACACATAGTGAAAAAATATATATTTATTTTTTAAACAAAATTATTTAATACAACCATATACTATGATCGCAGGCGTTCAAATAAATGACTTCTATAATTTAATTAAAATGTATAATTAAAATTAACTAGCACTTGAAGGAAACGTTTATAATAAAAACTCATATTTGATGCACGTTATGTTACATGCATTACCGATAAAAAAATATTACATGACAAAGATTGAATATGCAATTTAATGAAAGTTCAAAATATATAAATTAATTAAATATTACTTCACATCATATATTTGTTCAAACAACCGCATACGTATAGAAGAACCAATTACATATTTAAACAAAATAATTTTTCAACAACCAATCAACTATACTTTCTTACGTCAACAACGTTTCATTCAGCAGGACGAATATATAAATTAAAACAAGAAAATGATAATATCTCAAATGCATTTTACTCGTGCAATAATATTTTATCTCCGGGTATAGTTATAAATTTAGTAAAAACCCATCATCTGCATAAAAATCAATACAATTTATATCCTACCTCTACGGAAAATATAGTGTCTATATTATGCTCTGTTCACTCACCTCCCAATCGCAGCTCAGCTATTCCTTGAGCCATCTCGTGCTCATTCCGTACGAAGCATTGGTACATTCCTCGATCCTCGCGAGCCACAGATGTCACCGAGATCTGTCCGCGCGAGACTGAACGTACTCGTGCCCCAGTCCTTAAGGGTTGACCATCTTTGAGCCAGTAGAGGGCAGCTTGAGGGAAACCGCTGGCACTGCAGGTCTGCGAGACAGAAACAATTTCCACAATAACACATTTTCTCTTTCTTGTTCCATAACGTAGAATACACGTGGAACGTATAACGTTTGATTAAACTGAATGGTACCATACATATAAGAGTTAAAAAAAGAAGAGTAAAAGAGGTTGGTGCATGGCAACGATATTCGATATCCGGTAGGATCTCTACCTATTTCGAAAGTGTCAAAAGCAGGAGCTTATAGAGCAGCCAACGTTAAGCCGACAATTCGTTACTTGAACGTATATAGGTATGCACCTACGTCACTTGCAACCCTCCTCTAGTGAACATTTCACAAGAAATCCTATTGGCGCTATACTCGAAATTGTACGAGCTTAACCGAGATGAGGATAAAAATTTGTTGCTGCAATTTAATGACACTTTTATAAAATCTATACTCACTAGATAAGCTGGTTTACCAAGATCTACGGTCTGCATTGCGGGCTGAATATGAACACTGAGTGGGGCTGAAACAGTCAGTCTAACTTCGAGGGTGTCATTACCCTCGGAATTACTGGCAGTGCATATGTACGATCCAGCATCGCTTTCCTGTACCCCTTGGATAATTAGGGAGCCATCTCTCATTAAAAAGTGTCCCGAGGTGTCATCGAGAGGCTCGTCACGTTGATTTCTCTTGTAATACCATCTAAAACACAGGACGAAGTAAAAGAAGGTGAGAACATAATAATTATAGTGTCACGCTCTTAGGCTCTACTGTTATAGTCAAAGACCAAGAAATTGAAAGAATACACAAAAGAAGAAGGAAGGAAGAAAAGAAGAAACGAGGTTAGAAAAAAAGATATTTGGGAAAAATGCCATTTGGAATTTGATAATAAAAGAATCAACTACGCGAAAATTCTTCCTTGGGAAGCACAGACTGCAAACATCGAACTGGTCCACTTGGGTCCTAGGAAAACAAATCATCCCTACTTCAGTCTGGCCTGAAAAAGCTCTGGTTCCAGCAGGTAATGGTAGTAGTAGTGGTACCACTAGTAATAGTAGTAATGGTAGCACAAGCAGAATCATTAGTAGTAGTAGTAGCTGTAGCAATACTAGTAGTAGTAGTAGTAACAGCAGAAGGAAATTCGAAAATCGAGAGCGTTTCAACGACTTCGAAGCTCATCCTAGTAACAAACATTGAGCAAAACAAGACTGAATTTACTACGTTTTAAGGTTTGGATGTAGAATCGAATAAAGGGGAAGAAGAGGTAGGAAAATGGTGATATAAATGTAATGTAAAAGAAGTGAGGAAAAAAACGAAAAAATGGTTAACTAAGGATAAAACAGAGATACTGCTACCACGTGCCTGAAGCAAATAACATCCTGGAGATGTTGGTAGCTTCGAAATACACGAAACGTTCTTCAGCTCTTGCTTACTCTGCTCTCTAAGATAGATATGGGCGAGTAGTCTGAGGTTTATGGAGAAGGTTGCGAAAGGTAGCACAGTAGGGTGTGTACGAGGTTCAGCTTTCCTTGTGAACGTGGAACAGGAGGGAGGTCAGGGGTGTACCTATAAATAATCGAATTCACGGTGGGAAATTGGCGAGGGTGAGAGAGAGAAGAAGAAGAAGAAGAAGAAGAAGAAGAAGAAGACGACGAAGAAGAAGAAGAAGAAGAGGCAAAATCGAGTAAGGCGCATCATCCGACAGCCGTCTATATACGGGCTTTCCAGAAAGCAGAACTGCCAGCTACAAGGAGAATTGGTAGAAGGTAAGGGATGATAAGGGAAGGTAAGGGAATGTTACGGAGGGTTGAAACTTGTGCTGCGGTGGCGTACCCTTAAACTCGACCGAGTGAGTCAACTCTCGGAGATGGCTTCTGAAGGCGGTTCCAGCTCCTACTGATTGTGGTAGTAAAGCTACATTCCTCCGAGACGGTGGTAAAAGGCAAAGGTAGTAGTAGGTCGTAGGTAGGCAGAAAGGTAGATAGGTAGAAGCCGGAATGGTGCAAGCCAGAGAACACAGAGGCTTTTAATACGTAGTGACGTCAACGTACACGTAAATGCGGAATATTTGATGGGCTGTCAGAAGCAGTCTCTGTAATCAGCGGCCGGTTTGTTTGCGTTTCCCATACAGGGATGTATCTACTATATATATGTATATAAATATATATGTACATTTCCCGAGTATCTAGGTTCTTCCTGTTTTGAGTCTTCTG